CTTCCCAAAAGAAGCATCAACTGATAACAGCAATCTTTATCTGTGGCCCTAGCCAAGCTGTAAGGCCTGGTAGCAGAGGTCACAGAAAGCAGCCTGTGCTGCCTGGTCTGTGAATTAGAAAGACTTGCATTTGTACCCAGTCCCACTGCAGGTTTCGTAAGCAGTGACAAAATGTCAGAAGCAAGACTGCAGAGCAAAGTTTCCAAATTAACATTACTGTTAAGTTAAAAAATCCTTTATTGGAAAGTGGCAATGCTAGGCTGATTTCTAAAGCAAGCAAGGCAGTTATCTTGCTGGCATTTAACATATCCTTGTACAACAAGAATAATTCCAGCCCTGAATGGCTGCTGGCTACACACTGTGAATTAAAAAGAGGAACTAAAACACAAGCAACTGGCCTCGTTAAACACATTGTTTTTGTATATGGTATTCATTTTTCATGTTGCACTGAGTGGATTAATTACAGTTAAATAGATATTGAATTCTAAGTATTAAATGGACCTGTCCCAATAAGGGTTGTTTGGCATACTTAGCTACCTAACTGAAATGACTTATTTCCTCATCTGAACTACTCTCACAAGGTTGGGGTATTCTTTATTTTAACTTCAAGGGAGGCAGTCTGGGCAGTGCCTAGAATAAAAGGATAAGGAGTTGCAAACCCCTGGGTTCAAATCCCAGGTCTGCCAACTTGGCTCAGAGAGTCTGGCAACTCCTTCAACTGCCACGCATCTGTGAAGCTGGAATAAACGTGTGCCTCAGCAGGCTGTTACTACTGAGGTCCATTGGTTACCAACACTGTTATTCTTGTACCATTACCAGAACACAGGTGCAATTAAGTTCATTGGAGGGCTCTTTTCTCTAACCCAACAGGGATATTAGAAGCATGGAGGGACAGAAAAACATATGAGCGCCTTACTATAAGTTTGTCAGCTACTGTACAAGGAAGTTTTGCAGACATTTTAATAGATTAAGTTACTGCTGCAATACGAGGCTTGGGACTTTGTGTTAATACTGGATTGAGCTAGCTGGTCTTTTCCATTTTAATGCTGAAGCTAAATGGCTCTTAAACTGTTTTTGTTAATGCCTCAAACCTATTTTGTCTTCTATATCACTCCCATAGCAGTGTCCAACTGAGCTACCAAAGACAGCTGGCTCCTGTTCAAAAGGCTTGTAAGGACCCAACTGAGCTGACAGAGCAAGCAAGACAACAGAAATTCATGGGGCAGTGACTTAGAAGAGGAAAATGGTGCTATGGTGTGTGGGTTGATGTTCTCACTTGTTTGTTAGTGAAATAAAAACCTAACTGCTGCATGGAAAGTTACTGTCAGAGGGTAACTGACTTTTCATACCTCAAAAATAAATGCAAGCAGAAAAACTCAGTGAGGGTTTTTCCAGTTGAGAAACCACTGTTGCTAAATCAGAACCCTGCCTGAGGACTTGGAGCATATTGAACTGCACAGACTATGGGACAGAGGAAAGACTTCATTTTTTTTATTTAAAAAACACAAGCTACATATTTACATCCTCCCTTGCTTCATCCTTCTGACAACGTACAAAAAAAAAGATGGAAAAGACCTGGAGCTTCTTCGTCCTTGCTACAGACACTCAGCCTGTTGACTGGGGCAGCCCCTTTTTCAGGAGGGAGGTCAGATAGCTCCCCAGTTCTTCATCCTAGACACAGAAAACAAAGAAATCAATGGTACAGCACCACTCTAGGCTCCCAGGTCTTGTGCCGTTAATCAGAACCTCTTTTTTTAGGCACAGTTATACACCAATGTTTCAGACCCAAGCAGCTCCCAAATTATCAGGGCTTGCACTTGGGAGCCAGATTGTCTGGCTGGAACCCATTTCTGGCTTAGCAATAAAACCTGCATTGGTCAGAAATGAGCTTAGATGCCTCTGAGGAGACTGTTTTGAGGATAAGTGCCTCTCTTTTTAAAGCAAAGAACTACTGATTTTTGCTTAGCTCTCAGGAAAATGTTTCCTCTCTGGGAAGAGAGATTTTCAAAAAAAAATTCACAGAAACTAGACTTGTGAACGCATCTTAAAATAAGACTCCATCTATGAAGAGAAAAAACACAGTGCCTCCTTCAGCTGCAGCTTCACTTCAGAAAGCATTTTTGCTAGTCATTAAGTTGCAGATTTTGTATATACGTCTATTTGTCACAACTCAGCTTGTCACACGGCCCGCAAGACTTCTCCATGCAAACGTCAGTCACAGAATTGATAGCCGGAAACTAGACCGTAGCAACAACCCAGAAAAGTAAATGAGAATGCACCAACAAGATGCTGAAAAAATGTCCCTAGCTCAGTGGCTTGTGTACTCCCTCACACAAAGATGGTGCAATGCTGTAACCGCATTTATATGGAAACTAATCCTTAAGAAGGCACACCCATACCACAAGCAGATGACAAACCAACCACAGAGTCACTCTGATGGCAGACATCTTGCTGTGGGGGAGCATCTTGAAGTGACACTTGTTCTCACCTGGTACGTCCAGGAAACCAGCAGAACTTTGGTTCCTTGATCCTCTGAATGTGCTGTGGCCTGGATGAGAATAGACTCCACCATTATAGACCCATCAGGGAGGTGCTGAACTGAATAATCCTTGAGGATGCTAGGGAGAAGGTGCATTACATATTTGTAAGTGTTCCCTGCTATGCATAAATCTGGAAGGGTGAGCACACAAACCCGAGCTGCACCTCAAACTTCCACCCCCCTGCCTCTGAGCCAACGCTGACCACCTGAGGAAGTCAGCACAGGGCTCATTTAGAGCCTGCTAATGCTGTTCTTTCTATCCTATGTTCCCTACAGGGTTTGATTTGTGTGGAAGTAACAAGCCAGATCAGCTCCTCAGGTACAATTTTGGACTCTCTTGGGCCACAGAGCACTGCTCCTGCCCTGGGCCAGCTGATTTTGGACACCAACCTCATCCTAGACAGTTTCTCAGGGGTGACTGCTCACTGGGGTAAATGCCCCTACAGAAACTCTAAACTAGCTAGCTCACGTGAGCACTGCCCACCTATCATATCTTCTGGCAGCTAGATTCCCAAGTCACCTCTTCCAACCCAGACAGCCCTTTTGCTATCTACTGACAGTCTGTACCTACACAGTGCTGGTTTGAATCAACATAGGTGAATCATGCTCACAGCTCTAGAAGCCCCTGCCCAAGTTTGGCGCTGAGGCTACACTTACCCCTTGAGATGGTTGTAAACCCGCAGCACTGTTTCGTGCTCCTTGCGAGGGTCCTGGATGTGGACACGACAGGTGAAGCGCAGCTGGTGCTCTGCAAGGCCCAGCTCCTTTAGCGCCTGCTCAGGAGAGACCAGACGGAAGCTCTGCCGAGGGAAGGGAGAAGTCAATGAGCTGCAGCCTGGCTCATACACTGGGCTAGAATCCCCCAACATTTTTATATGGCTAGCTGTGGATGGTAATGAAAGCAAAGCAACCGACTCAAGGTGGGGACTATCCCTCTCCCAGCACCTGGGAATGCCCAAGCACACTGCAGCCCCTGCCACAAACAGAAACAGCCAGCTGGATCTGGGTCTGCTAAGGTTACTTGCTTGAGGAGGCAGGGTGTGGGGGGCAAAGGAAGCGGGGAGTACTTCTCTCTCTTACCAATTCCCCTTTTCTCAAAGCTACTCACTGATGGAAAGCTATCAAAAACTGCCTGTGTGGAATGAACCAGTCATCTAATTACAAGGTTAGGTTGCAGGATAAGAATGGCCTGCCTGGGCATCCATCAGATGCACCCACTGCATGGCAGGAGGCTGCAGGGAAGCAGCAAGTTCCCTGGCCAAAGGGAAGAACTTCATGGGCAATGGTTCTGTGGATGCGTCAGCCCCGTTTCCAAGAACCACTTCCAGATAGCCAGGGGCACACCCATCTCCTCTCTACAGAGCAGATGGCAGGGAGACCGGGAATCCTCTTACACCCACATTTTCTTCACAGCCACATGGCACCTGGAGAGCTGCCACTGCTGAGCTGTTTCCCAGAATAAGTGAAGATTGGGCACCCTCTCTACTGTTCTCTGTGCTGGGATTGTTTAAAAGAAAAAAAAAAAAAAACAGAAAGTGGGGGGCTATGAGACAAGAGGCCAGAGAGGCTACAAGACAAGTACCAGAACAGTCTCCTGGTCACTTACATTATCCTTCATGATCAGCGTGCCATGCATGAGCTTTGGCTTCTTGGCATCTGGGAGGGGACCTAGAGCAGGACCAATGGAAAAGGAGGACATGGCCATTAATGACCTTGTGCTTACCTGACACCTTGACAGAAAGTCAAGTGCTTTGGGATCTCACTGAGCCCCTGGTGACAGCAAGGTTTGTACAGCCTCACAGTGGGAATACAGCAGGCCCGTTCTATGGGCCCAACCCATAAGTCCTAGTCACTGCCTCTTTAAAAACAAGTGCAATGGAATTCAACCTTCAAGCAATGGAGGTGCGACAGCCACACACTCATTACACCCTCCCAGCTTAACTGGGAATTTCAGCAGAGCAGAAGTGGCACGTCCATACACGTTTGCCCATGAAGCAAACTGACACGTTATCTCTGCACAGTGTCTGGCTGCTGAACAACCACCTCCAACTTTCCTGCATGGGGAAACAAAAATCCCCACACACTGAATCCACCAGATGCAGAGATACATTCCTAGGGTGAGAAGCCATTGCAACTCTCTGGAAGCCCCTTGCAAACTCTAGCCCTGATAAAGCTCAGTTATACAAGGATCTTGGAAATGCCCCCCTCAGTTCACAATCCAGGGAGCACTCATTCAGCAATACAAACATAAATACAATCCAGCCACTGGGCCTGACCAGCAGGAACTCCATGGCAGCCATCTGTTACCTAGTGCAGTCTCTCTTTTCAGCAGTCCAAGGGAGATGTCCACAGGGATGTTGGGGTTGGTGAAAAACGTAGTAGTTTCTCCGTTCGCAGGCATGTAACAGTTCACATCTGTATTAACAGCAAAGAGGATTGAAGGGACATTCACACAAAGCCTCCCCCTTTCTGCATCATCAAGGGCTCTGCATTGTATATGCAGGAAGCATTGTTCCCCAACCTGGTGAGCGTGGCACAGTGAGGCTAACACTCCTGTACATGCAATGAGACTTCCCAGGGCACCTATGACATACCAGGGCCTGACTCTTAATTCTAACATGGAAGAGAGCAGAGACCCGCTGAAAGGGAAGGCCACTACCTACTGACTCCTCATCAATGCTTTATGCAGGGCTTCTTTTGGAGAACTGCCCACTCTGAACCTATGGGCTAGTAAGAGCTGAGATCACAGGCTGCAGACAGACTACAGCAAAGCTGGCAGATAGAAAAAAGCAAGCCAGTGCTAGGGAAGGCATCTAAAACTGCCCAAAAAGGAATTTCCAGAGAGCTACGTGAGGAGCTCTCTATCCTACCTGCACTTAGGAGTCACTGATTTAAAAAAAAAAAAAAAAAAAGTCTGGTTT